TTCAGTGAGGAAGCGGCTTTGCTGGCTGCCAGCCCCACAGTAATCCCGTGGGGACCTCAGTCTTTTCTGGTTTTTGTGCCACATCCCCAGATTTCTTATTTGTAGGGGTTCTCACACTCTGAGTGCCTGGTCCCCAGGGAGGAGGTGTTTCTCTGATTAATAACCAAAGGCTGGAGAAGGTGACCTTGTGCATAGGTGACACGAGAGTCCCCACGTCCCACCTGGCCCCCCAGGGTTTCTGTCCTGTGGCTGCAGCCAAAAAAAAAAAAAGTCCTGTTTCATCAGAATACTGCAGGAACGGCTCATAAAACACAAGCTTGGGGATGAAGCTGAGCAGATCTGCCACCCGCGTGGTACGCTGCTGGATAAACACAGCGTGCTGCAGGGAAAAAAAAACACATTCCCCACCCCCCCCAATTTATAAGGGGAAAATCACCCTTCAATCTCCACTTGCATTCCCAGCTAGGAAACATCCAAGGCTTTAGGCCTTTGCAAGAGCTTCCCTGGATCTGGGCTGGGATTTACAGCTGGTGGGGTGTCCAGAGCCTGCCCCCCCCTCCCCCCCCCCCCCAGCCAGCCTGCTCAGCCAGGTGCTGCATGCATCCTCCTTCCCAGGCCCTGCAGGAAACCACAATGCATGGAAAAGCCCCAGGGCTGGAATAAGCCTGCAAACAGCCTTCACAGCACTGTCAGAAATAACACCAGGAGCAGCAATGCTGAAGCTGATGCTCTGCTTTGCCCAGGAGGATGAGCATCGCCGATGCCCGGCAGCCACCCGATGCCATCCCTATACTGGGTGACTCCCCTGGACCCACGAAGGAGCCCCAACAGCACCCACACCGACTGGGCTGATGCTTGGCCCAGCAAATCCCCCAGTGCATGGCCCAGAGATTTGCTGCGCCCGCCGTGGTGCTGGCAGAGGGAGAGGGGGGAACTGCCTCGTGGGCTCAGCCCCCCTTTAGCACTGCGTCCTCTCCACCAAGAAAGCATCCTCAGGCATCGTGCTCAACCAGCTCCAGAGGGATCTGCTGGGAGAGAAAGCATGCTGGCAGAGAAGAACTGGGATTTTCCAGCTTATCTGGCCTTTACAGAGCGGCACGTCCCGCTTTGCTTGCGGAGGGGCAAGTTAGGCTGAGCCCATGGCAAAGACTGCTTGCAGCTGAGCTCCGTGCCCTTTGGGGAACCAGCAGTGGAAAATCAGCGCTCGGGTGAAAGCCTGCTGAAAATAATTCAGCCAAGACACCACTACGCACCTCCCTGGCCGGCCAAGGAGCTGCAATGACCTTGCTTGAACACTGTGTCTCGGGTTGAAAGTGCAGAGCGAGAGGATGTGAGTCACATCTGGGACGCGGCCGCAAAGGACAGATGTGTTTCGTTACTGTCCAGGGCCCTATCTGCGGCTCTGTCTGTGCAGACAGTGACTCAGCCTTGCCTTCGAGCCTTTCCGAAAGAGGAGCCACAGAGCATCTCCTCCCAGCAGCATCCCCGTGCTGTCGTAAAACAGATTTGGGAAGCTCAGGCTCCTGGAAGGGGAAGAACCACAATAAAACAAATCAAAGTCATGTTCCTCCATGGGAATCTTCCAATTTCAGCTGTAAATCATTCAGAGAAGGATAAAATCAAATGCTTCAGTGGTAGGATCCATCTCTCTAAGTTTAGAGACTTAAAAGCTAAATGTCCCCTGCATCCCAGTGGAAAGACACTGATGAGTCCCCTGTGTTTTCTTAGACACTTAGCATAGGGCAATAGGAAACATCTCCTGGAGATGCTCCGTGTCCGGAGGGAGGCATAAGGGGATTTCAACAGCTATCCTTCCTGCAACCCCTAGCATTTAGTGGAGGGAGAATCCCAAAGCACCGAGGTAAGGCTGAGCCACCCCATATTAGACATCAGAGAATCTAAATAGGGGAATGCTGCAGCCCACATTACTTCTGTGGGTCTCCTGCAAAACCCAGACCCAGGCCCCAGATTCCCACACCTCGGGCAGTGTGTTCCCCCCTCAGTTATCCTCCCAAACAGCCTTTTTCACACTCACCTTCACTATTTACTCGCTGCTGCCCGCAGGGTGACACGTCCGGGTACCGAGGGACGCAGTGGGGTGATGGCCGGGGTCCCCCTGGCAGCAAATCAACTCCTGCTCTGTCCTGCACAGAAACCCCCCTTCATACCTATGGTTTTTCCAACGGGTGAGCAGATGGAGCCGCATCTGCGGGGTTTTTTTCCTGGCCACATCCTGGCTTTGAAGGCACCAACAGCCTCATATTTTGCTGAAACGCCCGGGGGGGCAACACGGGGCCAAGCGGTGCCTGACCCAGGGGCCAGAAAGCTGGGAGCCAGGGATGCAGTTCACTTGGCAGACGCTTGATGGGGCTACGAAACCGATTACGGGTGCACCTGGCAGAAAAGGGGGGGGCAAAACAGCAGCTGCTAGGTGTTTCGGGGTCCCGCTTGGCGGGTAGCGGGCTGGTGTTGCCATAGCTGCCAGCACCCACGGGGGACACTGGTCCCCGGTGGCTTCGCTTTGGTCTTCAGTCACATCCTGGACACTTTGTGGCTGAGTGAGGATTGCCAGCACCTGGGCAAAGCTGGAGGCTTTACCCCCCCCCCCCCCCCCCCCCAAAAAAAAAATAAATTTCCATTATTTTTTTTGAGGAGCAATGGAAATGGAGGGCAGGCAGCTCCGCCTTGTAAAGCTCCGGTTAAGTTTTATGCTGCTGTTGCAAGACGAGGTGACCTTGCCTCCCAACTCACCTTCTGCCTAAACCCAGGCTCTTTGCAGGTGGGCATCGGGGGGATTTTCCCATGTTTCCAGCCCAAAGCGAGGGAGGGATGGGGAGGTGCAATCCCAAAGCTGAGCCCGAGCATGGCGAGAGGCGCAGTCCCGCATTGCGGAGCCCACTGTGGGCAAGGGCCAGCCCCGAATTCCCCAAACGCTGCTGTCAAACTTTCCAGCACGTCTCTAAATCCACCAGCCCTCGCCTGGCTCCAGCTGGCCGAGCAAGCTGGCAGCAGCGTGCGGGCGAGAGCCGATAGTGAGAGTCAAAGCCTCTCCTGCTCAAGAAAAAAAAAAAAAAAAAAAAAGAATAAGAGACGGTCCCCATAAATCATGAGCTAGTTACTGACGGAGAAGACTCCCCTCCCTCTTGCTCCTCACACTGCGGCACGAATTATGGCCCCAACTTCGCTGTTGTTCAGTGATGAACATCTGAAAAGGCTGTGGCAGATGAGAAAAGGGATGATTTAACAGCCATAAATCCAGCCAGCTTAGAGGTGTTTTTACAACCAAACCCATCTTGAATCCCCTCTGTTATGAATACTTATCACTCCCAGACACTACTACAATGGAAAGATTTTTAACAGCTTTAATAGAGACGCAGTAAAACCCCCAGAGCCCAGCAAGCAAACGCTCTTTTTATCCCTCGGGGGAGGGAGAGGGGGCTGAGAGCTGCTTGTTGTGCTCAGGCTCGAAGGATCAGAGCTGGCCTAGCCACCAAGCCACCCCTGACCCCGGGGTTTAATGGGTGGGTGGCATCACCCAAGAGCTCTAACAGCTTTCCTAAAACATGGAGAGTGTAATTAATACCCCACAGGGAGAGAAGAATGGGGAGACAGGCTGCACCCGTGATGTACAGCACCTTCCTCCTCCCGTGCTGCTCTTACCTTTGCCAGGCTCTCCTCCTGCAGTTACCCAAATCAAAGGTGATCTAACTCACCTTTGGGGATTTGAGATGAGGGTGATATCAGCTCAGACCCTCTTGGACAGGGTGCCATCCCTCAGCTGCCTCTCGCTGCTTTTAATGCACCTTGTTGCTCAGGCATTAAAAGGCTAAATGGGCTCAACGAGCAGGATAGGGACACAGCTCCTTGGCACTCTGGGGAGGCCCAAAGACTTCCCAGATGGCAGTTAAGTGGTGAAAAAAAATCCCTCTTGCTATGTATGCTGACCCTATAGCCTCTCCATACCATTCTGCAAGTGCACCTTGTGCTTGGGGATGAGATGTTCCAGGATGCTCGTGTTCCAGCACGTCTTTTCCATCAGAAAAATGTTCACCGGGGTGAGGGGATGCCAGAGGGGACATGCACGTTAGTCCCTTCCAGCAGCCCCTTGCCCTGACAAAACCCTTTATCTGGTAACTCTGCCCAGGTTTGGGAATGGCCAAGGGAAACCCAGCCAGCAAAATCAGCAGCACCCAGCTCTGAGCAAATGCCTAAGGAATAAGCACCTCCTTTCTTATATGCACAAGCTTATCAGGCACGGCAAGGCGATATGTAATTAATCATGACGGAGGGAACAAAAATACTGCCAGGGCATTTGGCTTCTGGTTTTCCATAGCTGGTCAGCCCACATCCATGTGAAACCCCAGGTAAAACATCCAAGCTTCAGGGCTGATGGGTTTTCCTCTTCCAATGGTGAATCTGTGGAGTGTTTCAAGGAGGGTAATTAAAAAAAAAGCAAGCAGGGCAAGCTCCTTTTTAAGACAAATGTGGCCATGAAACCCTGTTCCTGCACTACTGAGAGAGAAACCAGCACTGCAGGGCAGGGAACAGGCTCAGCTTGGCCATCCAGAGACCAGAGGGGACGTGATCTCCGAAGCCTGGGTGGAGGATGACACTCCCAGCCCATTAATCTAAGGGAACATCTTTTTTTAATAAGATAATACTGAGTAATTGATTTTTAAATACAGTGAAATCAAATGTCCCGAGGCCAGAGCAGGATCCCAGCTCCACCGTCAGATCAGCGGCGACTAGCAGAGATTGAGCGTACAGGGGAAAAGAAAATAAAAATTAAATCTCTTTTGTGTGCCTAGCTGGCTCCAGGGCAAATGCTAACGTTTCTTTAAAAGGTGCATCAATTTTTCCCTATTAAAAAAGTAGGTCATCAAAAGGGAGAAGCTGGCGGGGGCTGAGCTGGGGAAGGCACCAGGGACCACGGAGGCCAAGCAGGCAGCGGGGAAAAGATCCATCTGATTAAAACACATGACAACAGCTGAGCAAGAAAGTAATTTTTAAGACAATTTATTCCAATCTCTCTCTCTCTCTCACCCCATCTTTCACGCAGTCTGAGTTGAGAAGGGTTTATGGACATTTTTAAATTTTATTTTAATTTATATTTTTTTTAGAAAAATACACATGCAAATAATATATATTTCACCACTGAACTTTTTTCTTCATGTTGGAAAAAAAATAATAATAAAGAAACAAAGCAGGATTCACGAAAGACCCGAGTAGAGACTGATCTGGGGATGCCACGGGGATGGGATGCTCCGGCATGCCCGATGCTCGTGCTCCAGCACACCCTTTCCACCTGAAAGGTTTTTGCTGGGGTGAGGGATGCCAGAGAGCACAAAGTGAACATTAGTCCCCGCCAGCAGCCCCTCGCCCCAACAAAAACCTTTGTCCAGTAACTCTGCCCAGGCTTGGGAATGGCAAAGGGAAAGCCAGTGCTGGATCCGATCCTTCCTACGAGACCCAGCGTGGAGCTGAGTCCCAGCCCCAGCAGCGAGGGAAGCCCAGCTTAGGGAAAAAGTATCATTTTGATGCTAGGAAATGACACCAGAAACTAAGAGCTACATCGAAAAAACCCTGTTATGCTATTTATCTTGGAGGCTACAGCTGACAGCATGGGGAAAAACAGACGGATGGTCCCTTGAAACCTGGACTTACGTTTCAGGACAATGTTGGGGGGGGGGGGGGGGGATACTGAGTGCTGGCCCCTTGGCTCCGTGGGGCTGGGGTTTTCTGACCCCATGGGCAGAGCTGACCAGGTCCCATCAGATCAGGAGGGGTGCAGCGATGTCCCCGTGTCCCCAGCCTCTCTGCAAACGCTGTGCCAAGGTCCTTGGGGGAAAAAAAAAAAAAAAACAGATACACTGCATACCGGGTAGCTGCCGTCACTCGAGCAGAATAGGAGATGTACTTAAGACAGGGCTATTTCAGGTTTGATTGATGATCAGCTGGAGCGAAGGGGCTGAGGAAGCAGAGGTGCAGCCCCGGGGAAGGAGGGAGATTAATCTAATATCCCGGCTGCTGTGGGAAACCAGGAGGCTTCGGGAAATGCCTCAAGCCCGCAGCAGCCCCGGTGCTGGCGATGCAGCAGGGAGTGGGCACAGGGGGGTTCTGCCTCGCCGCTGCTTTGCTACCTCCTCCCAAGCTGCTTTCACGCCGTGCTCCTGTCTCCTCTCCCGCCCAAGGCCATGGCTTTTTTTTCCTGCTGATCCAGGTTAATGATATGGAGCAAACTGTGTTTTCCCTCTGCCCGGAGGTACAAAACCACACAGGCAGCGCAGGGAAGGTTTCCCAAGGGAAAGATTTCCCTCTGGCTCCCAAGAAGCTTTATATCGAGGAAGGTAGCAGCATTTTGCCAGCCCCATCTCTGCTCCCAGCAAGCCCCCCGCACTGCCCATGTCCCCGGCCGGTGGTGACATCCGTGGATACACAACACGACCTCTTCCCACACTGATCCAGAGCCTCCCATCAGCTTCTGCATCCCCTCATCGTCCTCAGCAGCCGGCTCCTGCATTGCCAGGACAAACCCGCGTGCTGCCAACACCCAGAGCCTCACTGCTGGGGGCGATGGGTCAAACTGGAAGCTGAGTCGGCTGCTCTCCCCCGGCGCTGGGTTTTTTTCGTGGCTGGATGCGGCCCCAGCAGCTGGATGTGGTCCCTGCCATCACCTCCCGCGTCCCTGGTCCAGCTCCAGCCTCCGTCATGCCCAGCGGATGCTGGTGGGGAAAGGCAGCAGGAGACTCACAGCCTCGGCTCCCTCCGGATTTACCACTGTCCACGGCAGCCTCGGAAAGGCACCGGAGCAGCGAGTGTGTTTGGCAGCTCTGCACCCACCGCCTTTGCTCTACGGAACACCAAAGATCACAGGCAGCATCTCACAGGGGGACCAGAGACACAGCGATCCCGCTCTCATAAACACACCTGGGGGCTGCACCACTTGCTCTCTTTTTGCTTTTCTCTTGTTTGTTTGTTGTTCTTTTTTTTTTTTTTTTTTAACTGACAAAATACACTTTTGCGACTGCCTACTCCGAAAATAGATGTGGGAGGGTCTGGCGAGGGACGGGGGGGAGCTGTTTGGCTCCTATTTCTACAGGCTGCCCTGGTGCAGCTCTAACGTTTGATAGACGATCATGCAGGTTTTATTGCAGCTTCTGCGTGTGATTTTTTTCAGTAGCCCAGCTTCAGTTTCAGGTAGCCCTGGAGGTGGGTTTCCTCTCTCCTCCCCACCCTCTCCGGCCGCTGTCTCTCCACCGCAGCGTGCCGGCCAGGCGATTATTCAGTGGCCATTTGCTCAATGTGGTCGCTGAGCAGCTTGTATTGCTCTGTGGAGGAGAGAGAAAAGAGTGCTGGGAGGGTGCCAAAGCACCCCGGGACCCCACAAAAGGGGTACACCCCTCCCCAACTTGCCCCTACCTTCATCCAAATTGCCGATGGTCGCCTGCTTCTTCAGGAAATCGCTGCAGAGCTTCTTGTTCAGGCCGAACGCCAGCATGTTGTGAATGAAGGTGCTGAGGAAGGACAGGGACTCTTTTTGTGAAGGAAGGGCCAGGCTTTCCCCCCCACCCTCCTCTTCCTCCCTGCAGCCCCTTGTACTGGGCGCTGGGATGATGCTCGGCTGTGGGAGAGCGTGCTAGGTCCCTGCGGTGCCCGGGTTTTTAACTGAAGGGGCAGGAGCAGGTCCTGGGGAGAAGCATCGAGCATCCTCTGCACCATAAGGGACGTCCCCGGTGGGGGCACATCCCTAAGGTGTGTCCCCCTCGACACATCACGGCGCCCGGCTGCCGGAGGGACGGTCCCCTCGCCCTGCTCACCCCAGCTGCCCGAAGGTGATGTTCTCGTTGAAGCGGAGGCTGTCGTCGCGCTCCTCCTGCGTCATGTGGCACCACTTCTCCCTGCAAGGCACAAACCCGTCTGGCTCCGCCGGCACCCTGGGAAACCCCCCCCCCCTTGCCTGGCATCCCCCCTCCCAATTCCCTGGGCCACGCTGCCGGAGGACAGGAGGGCACTGAGAGCCCCTCGGCTGCCAGCACGTGCTGGATGAGCTCGCACACCTCCATCCATCCCCACAACCCGGGGCAAAGCAAGAGACGCCCCAGGAAAAAGTCGTCTTCAACCTTGGCTTTCTCCCGAAGGCCCTGATTAAGAGCTAGGAAATAGCATTGGCCTCTCCAGCGCAGAGCTCGCGCCTCTCACCTTTCGGTGCCATCGCTTCAGCAAGGGGGATGAGCGAGGAAAGAGGGGGGGCTTGCAGCTTTTGGGGATGGCCATCCCGGCAGGACTCCACTGAAGCCCCCCCTGGAGCTGGGAGGGCTACCAGGAGGCTACCGGGCACTTCTCCCCCATCTACAGCGGGGATCCCGCTCCCCGAGTCTTGAGCAAGCTGGTCCCCAAACATACCTCCCCCTCCGACAGCACCAGGGGGGGGTCCATACCCCTCCCCACGGCCCCACTCGGGGACTAAAGTGCCAAAATCACAGCACTGCCCTGAGGATGCCCCAGCTCCGCTCCGGCTCCCCGGCAAATACAACTGCAGCGTGGCCTTAAAGGATGGGGGGGGGAGGTGTTTAAGCTCTAGGTGTTTGTGACCAACTCAAGGCGGTGGCAGGAGTCCCCATCCGGGTGTCCCACTTGGGAATAAAGCCTGTGTCACAAAAATGTCACTGTGGTGGTGCAACACTCGGGTGGTGGCGCAACACTCGGGTGGTGGCAGGGGGAGCTCGGTGCATGCACGCCAGGGAAACTACAGCTCCAGGGTGAAGCCAGCCCCTTCCCGAAAACTCAGGTGAGGTTACAGCCAAGGATGAGAGGAGGAAAAGCAAGGAAAAACAGGGATAGGTAGAAGAAAAATAGCTCTATGGAGGAGAAGGAAGAGGAGAACACCAGGAGCTGCCCGCACGCTTGCAGCTCGCTGGCACGCCAAGCGGGATGGAGGAGCTGTGTCGGGTGGAAACAGTGGCTGGGAAGAAAAGTGTCTCGTAGTAAATTCATTAGCTCAGCCCCGGAGCATGTTGGTGTTGCTGAAACTGGAAAAGGGTGAATGCTCACTCAGACTGAGCCCACGAAGGTGAGCTTGTCCTCACTCAGGTCAGCCCAGCCTGGGTGTGAGAATGTTGCTGAGCTGAGCCTTCGGTCTCCGGGGTTGAGCTGCTTATATTTATAGGGCTCTGGAAACTTATAGGATATGTTTAAAGGGATTAAAAATTAAAAAAATAATAATAATTTTAAAAAAAGGTGTAATTTCTCCCAGATAAAGCTTACGATAGCAAACAAAAACCACATCCAAATCCAGAGGTTGAAACAAAAGGAGAAGAATCAAATTAAGGGGCTTTGAAATCTGGAAGCAAAACTTCACAGATCTCACTGGCCCACTTAGAGAGGAAGCATGTTTGTAAGTATTTTTTTTCCTGCCTTTTTATGTTTTTGAGGGAGGAAGGAGGGAGAAAAAAAATTATCAAAGTGCCCAAGAAAAATTCACCATGCTTCTGGCTTCTTATTCGGGAGTAACACGCCAGGGAAGGGGGAAAGCTCACATGTGGCTCTACTCAAACCCTTTGATCTTTATACCGGCCCGGCGGGGCAGGCACAGGGGTGCGTAACCCCACGGGCTGTGCTGACACCTTGCCTGCATTTCGGCGTACCCAGCAAAGCCTCACCATGGCCGGGCACTGGCCAGAACCGTGCCGGTGAGATGTGGCTTCGGCCACTCGGCATCACTTTCAGCAACAGCGTTTCACCCCGCACAGCCAACCTGAGCAGTGCTCTGAGCAATATTTAAGTTATCCATTTGCTCGTGCGTGCCTTAGCCACACGGAAGATTTACTGGCAAGCTTCAAAGAACCCTCATCCTCTTGCTAACGCTGTCACTTGGAGTGATTTGCTCCAAGATGGAATATCCCACGCTCCAGCAAGAGCTCTCCCCCTGCCCCGATCCCAGCTCGGCACGTGGGTGGACGCGGCTGGGTTTGAGCTTTGCAGCCCAGAGGACATGCTCGCAATCGTGATGTGCAGCCCTTGTTTGCGTTTTGATTTTTATCGAGGGATGGCAGCACAGGAGTGCGTTTAAAAAAAAAAAAAAAAATAAAAATAGAAGGAGCAGCTTTTCCAGCTGGTAAAAGATCCTCAGCACCTCTGTGTGGCAGCAGAAGCTGGGAGCAAGCAGGAAGGACAGGAGAGGGGGACGTTTTCTCCACAAAGAGACTCAGTTCATGTCCAAAACCTGCCCAAGGAACCGTTCCCAGCACAAGTCTTTGGCTTCCCCAGCAGCTGGGCATCCAAGTCTCCCAGTAAAATATCACAGCTTGAAACTGGTCAGGTTTCTTTTTCAAAAGCTGCATTAAAGAGGAACCAATTTAAACCTTTCTGGCCCTGTTGAGAGGGAGATGCTCATGAAGTCAAACCTCCAGCAGCTGTTCCTCCTCGGTGGAGAAAGGGCCTTTCAGAGCCCCCCCCAAACACGTTACCCACCCCCTCCCCAGGGCAGGATTTGGACCTGAAGTGAGCGTTGGCCTCTGGACACTAATGCACCGAAGTATGGGGACAGACACACCTCTTCTCCTCTTCCTCCCCAGTGTTCCCTCTGGAGCGGCAGCAGAAACAGGGCCGACAAAAGTGGTGCGTGAAAGATCATGCAAGATAGAGGGATGGAGGGGAAAGGAGAGAAGAAGAGACGGAAGAAGGTTGTTAGAGGAAAGAGAGAGAAAAAGAGGAGTTTAGTTCTGGTTCCTTCCCCCCATTCCCTGCCCTCCCCACCGAGAGGAGAAGAAACCTCCCCAGCTCTCACTGGTGCCCCGGGAGGATGCAGCCCGGCCACCCCACAGAGGTGGTCACAGCCCCATCACCATGGACCCTCCAGACTCCTGCCCTGGCCAAGCACCATCCCTGGTGTTTCAAACCCAGCTCACGGGACACCGACCCTCACCAACCAGCTCCTCCTGCCAGGGATTTTAATCCTCAATCCAGCAAGAAGCATCCCAGTTCACCCAGTGGCTTCCGTTATCCTCTCCAGAGGACTAAGGGGGGGGGGTTCACCACCACTTTCCAACCCCTCCTGAGATACTTGGGGTACTCCAGGCTGCAGCTCCCGAAGCTCATTCATTAGTCGGGCTTGTTTCTGCAGCGGGGGCAGACTCAGCCATCAGATTAATTGAGAAAGGCACTCAGAACAGAGAGCAGCTGCCAGTGGCGTATGTCCTTGTGAGACATTTGCTGCTGCTAATTTGGGGCTTAATCAAAGCAAATGCATTTATGGTTACATTACTGTTCAATAGGTTCTTTCAGCGGCTTGCTTGGGGAAAAAAAAAAGAAGAGCAATAAAGGAGAAAGCAGAGATTGATCAGTGCGCTGAGCCTGGCAGAACATCCCGTGGGGTGAGTCAGGGCTGCCGTGGCTTAGCTCAGGGTTTGGGGAGGGTGCAGAAGGGCTGCCTGCTTCAAGAAGTGCCGCCACTGCTCCGAAAAGGGGCTGTTCAAATGCTCCGAGCTCAACGAGCTCAAAATCTCAGAGCGTGAGCTCAAAACATCAGAGCACTGCCCGGATCCGCGGCGGGACAGTCGGGCTTCGGAGGGGGGGAACGGCAGCCCAGAGAGGAGCGAATTGCTCCAGCCCTCGCGGCAGCTCCGCAGTGGAGCGAGAGATGGGCACGAGCCTGGCGAGAGACTCGCCCACTCTTGCACCCCGTGGGGTCCCCGGGGCACCCAGACGCTCCCTGCACACAGCCACCCTGCAAAACAAGCAGCCTCCTTCCCTTTGCAGGGTTCATCCCGACCCTCCCAGCCCTCAGGGCTGTCCGTGCTGCCGCCTCCAGCCCTCGCCCTTGCTGGCTGCCCCGAGGCCGGTCCCCACGCCGCGCTGGCAGCACTTCCACAGCCCTCCTGGGGGCAACGGGGACCCAGGGCATCCCCCCCGCCTCCCCGAAGGGCTGAGCCAAGCATCTTTTCCCAAATCTGCTTGCAAAAAAAAAGCACCAAGCAGCTTGGACCCTGGCTGGGTTTTTCTGGGCACACCTCTAGGGCTTTGCACTTGCAAAAACAACGCAAAACGAGCAAGGCTTGCTCCCAACTCCCTACGAGGACGCAGATCTCACCCGCCCACCCCACAAGCCAGTGGGCCCAGCAGATTTGCAATCGGGGTGGGAAGCAGAGCATTTCCCCTTGGTTGGTAAATGCTTAGGGCTGTTGGGAGCGGGGCAGAACGCCGGCGGGGCTGGAGGGGCCACAGTGTCTCCTTTTCCCACGGGGTCGTGTCCTACCTGGTGGTGGGGGACCGCTTCCTGCGCTCGCAGTGCACGGCGTCGAAGAAGGCGGCGTTCCAAAACCGCAGGTTATGCCTGCAAGGAAGGAAGGAGACGTTGGGGACCTCCCAGTTACCCCAGTCCGTCCCTGAGTCCTCCCAGGGCCAAGCTCACCCACTTCCCAGGGACCAGGAGGTGATTCAAGGAGGGGGCTAAACAAGTCTGGCAGATTTGGTCCATCTTTGGACCAGCTCCTTGCGTGGCTGCAAAAACACACCCTCACTAGCACAAGGGGTTTGCAAAAGCCATGGCCACCTATTTTAGGGGCAGCAGGAGATTAAAAGCACTCATGAACATCTGGAAAATGTCTGGGCAAGGAGGACAAATCCCCTCCCTGGGGAGGCCAACACTGGGCAGGAGCCAGCTCGCCCCGGGCAGGCTTTACCAGATTGGCTGCTGCTTGAGGTGCATGTACAGGTAGATCTTCTCTCCTTTCTTCTCCTCCTCTGGGCTCTGCACAGAAACTGTGGGGACACACAGTTACACGCCAAGGTCTGGATGACTTCCACCTTCCCACTCATGCACAGACTTTGTGCCTGCCAGCTTGGTAATCCAAGCAGCCATGATGGCAAGGTTGGCAAACCAAATACTCATCCCCAACACACCTTCACCAACATGAAGAGGAGCTTTGGCCGCCCTTTGCAGGCAGATATTATCTCTGACATGGCATGGATGTCCCAGGAGGATACTCGAGGGACTGGACTGCTGGTTTGGTAGCACACACAGCTACCAGGGGGGAGACTGGTGCAACATGAAAGCTCAGAGGCAGCGGATGCCCAACCCTCTGCAACCTGTGCCACCGAGGAGAAGATCCTTGAGGGACAAGAGCTGTGATTTCTCCAAAGCAAGGAGCTGTGAAGGCTCCTTTGGAGCACTTCTCCAGGAACTCAAAGGAGACAGCATCGGTCCTGCCTGCCCTTCTCCCCACCCCACAGCTCCAGCAATGCTGGCCATCTCGTACCACTTCCAACCCTCGTTCCTTCCCCAGGGATCATTCCCAAGTAGGACCGTGCCTACTTCAGCAACGCCGACTCCACTCACCTGTCTTCTTCAGATTCTCCTTCGGTTTGTCCTCACCTTCGCTGTGGCACAGAAATCAGTGTCAGCTCCCCAAAAGCCTGTCCCCCTGACAGCCCGTGTGGCAAAGCCCTGGCCCCGCTGGTGAGGGGAACGGCTTCATTTGAAAGGCCCCCTGCTCCTATGCCACTGTCCCCCAGACCAGGAAGGTGGCTAAGAGACTGATGTCCATCCCAGTTGGACCCAGTACAGAGATGATGCAGAAAGCCACACAGCAACAACACTGTCTCCTGGGACCACATATCTCCACGTCCAAGGGACATGGGACTCCCAGACCATGAAATGCCCAATGACCGAAGCATGAAGCATGGCACCAGGCTAGAGACCATTTTTACATGGTCATGATAACCCCTGGCTCATGGTGGCCCTACACCCAGGAGGTTTCTGGCTTGGTCACATTATCGGTACCAGCATCAGCCCACATTGCCCACCCAACAGAGTGGTACCCACTCGCTCTTTTTGGTGGTAGGACCCTTCAGTTTGGTCTCCAGGCCCCCGAAGAAGCCCTTGACGTTCTCCGTCTTGGCCGATGTGTTTTTCAGCAGCCTCTCTGCGATGTCCTTCTTCTCCGCCAGCCAACTGTTCGCCGACTTCAGGTACGAGTCGATGCTGCCCATGGGCTTCTCCTTGGCCTCCAAGGGCAGCGCGTGGGTCTTGCCTGCAGGCAACGTGTTAGGAGCTCAGTTGGCTCCATGGTCCTGGGTGCTGTCAGCTCCGGGGGGACCTTCTCCCAGCTACAAGATGCACCACAGAGACCAGGAGCCAGAGATGGAAATGGCCCAGACTCCATCCCATCCCAATTCCTGTAGGTTTTTATCCTCCTTCCATTTTGGATAGAAAATCCAGCCACCCCCCCCAACCCCCCCCCGTCGTGGAGGAGTGACCACCCTCACCAAGCAATGAGCCAAGGTGCTTCTGGGCTGGGGCGTTCACATCACGTCCCCAGGGTTGGGAAACATCTGGGAATGGCCACATAGAGACATCCCTGGCTAGAAGCAACGACAAACCAGCATCAGCATGAGCTGCCACCCCAGTGAGGGTCTCTGGCAGGTTTGCACAGCTTCTGGGGCCTGGAGGCTCTTTTCCACTCCGTATCGGTGTCAGCCAGAGTAAGCCAAGCTCGGGGTACCCCTCCATCACCCTCCCTGTGCACAGTGCACGCTTCAACCACTGGTTTCCACCACAAGCAAAGCCCGAGGGTGCAGGCGCCTCTTACCCACATAGTAGTAGGTGAAACACATGGTCATGAGGTTCTTGGCAGGGCTGAAGTCATCCATCTGGTGACACCTGACACGGAGGGACAATTCGGTGAAGACACCCAGCGACGGCAGCCCAAGCAGCCTGGCGGTCGTTGCCCCTCCTCGAGCCGTGGCTCCGACCTCAGGGGCTTTCGGTGATGGCACCAAAGCCCCAATTCTCCCCCTTCCTTTCCCTCCCCCCCCCACCTCCCCAACTTACTCAAACAACACGAGGGCGAACGACTGCATCAGGCGGTAGAAGGTCTGCTCCGAGACGCACTTGGAGTTGCAGCGCTGGAGGCACAAAGCCCAGGGTTTAGCCCAGCTCTGCGGGGCAGCTGCCTGCTGCAAGCAGCAAGGGCAGCCCCAATTCCACCCCTGCCCCGGGACCCCCCCAACCCCAAGGAGGTTGACAGAGAGCACAAGCAGTCGGGCCTCCCTCTCTGAATTTTTTTTCTAGGGAATAGGATGTTTCTGAGCGCTGGCAGGATTTCATTTTAAACAAAACTGATGAATTCTCTCCTGTGTTGCAACAAGCATGTATCTAACTGCCACGAGGTGCATTTATTCACTTCTGTATCTCCCTGTACTGAAGTTCCTCCCTTTCCCTGAGTTTCTGCCCTCCAAAAATACCATTCTGGGGTATTGCTAAATTCCCCTGGCCTGAGCCTCCTGCCTAGGCTGCTCTAAAGCCCCAGTACACGATCACCAATCCTTCACCCATCTCTCCCCTTACCTGGGCGCTCACATATCTTGCGAACCACTCCCTGCCCTTCCCGTTCTCGCTGCTGCAGAGCTCACCAAACCTGGCCTTCTCTTCTTGGTCCAAATCCTCTCTGAAATAGGGAAAAAGAAAAAAAAAAACAAAACACTATTAAAGCTGAGGATGTGGGCAGCATCCCTTGTTCAGCCAGCGCAGCTCAGGTCCTCCACATCATCCCTCTTGGTGTCAGCATCCCGGTGCTGCAGTGCCAGGAGGAAGGCAGAGGAAGAGGGGAAGGGGAGCATCCATTTTGTCATCTCTTGGCTTATGCTGCTCTTCTGTTCCTCCCTGACAGAGGGGAAACCAAAGGCAGGGGGAAAAAGGAAGAGCCAAGGACAGCCCGAGCAGAAACTGAGCTTCAGAGACAGCCACTCTGCCCCGGAGCAAAAACATCCCCTGTTGCTTCTCATCACGCTCCGTTTGCTCAATCCTGCTTGACATGCTGAGCCGCAGCGTTACGGAGACCACAGCCACGGGAGCTGAGGGGGATGCAGGGCTGGGGAGCGGGGGGAGAGCCCGGGGCTGCCGCAGGGCCCTGGGGCACGTGCGAGCCGCTGGCATTTGCACGAGCATCAGCAGAGATGCCCAGTGGGGGAGAGGAGCAGGAGCACCCCCGGCACGGTGATCCCCTGGCATGGGAAAGGGGAGGAAGCGGAGAGGAGGGAAGCTGGGGAGGGGGAAAGATGAGCCGGGACATGCTCAAGACAGGGGTGCAAGTCAGAGCCCGCATCCCCCGCTTAGCTCCGATGCCACGTTATGGCCGGGAGCAACAAGCAGGGGGAAGGACACAAACCGATGCTCGCGGAGTGGGAAAGCAGCCAGCTCCCATCCCGTGGGGTGTCCCCCGGCAGCGGGCTCGCCGGCCCCGCTCGCTCACCCCCCGGTGAAGATCTTCTCCACGTAGCGCCGCATGAACTCCCGGCGCTCGGCCGTCGCCTCGTCCCGGGCCGACTCGGTGCTCTGGCTGGAGGAGAAGGACTCGTTGGAGGAGGAACGGCGGTAGCCACCCCAGTGCCTGGGAGAGTCGCCCATGTCATTCTCGCTGTCCGCTGACTCGGTGGCATCGCTCTCCTCCCCGCCCACGTCTCCCGGGTGCCCGTTGTCGCTGGGGGCAGCAGGCGGAGGGGGCTCCGAGGGGATGCAAGCGGGCGTTTCGGCATCGAAGTCGATGAGGTTCCCCACGGGCACGTCCAGGGGGGCCTCCATGACTCTCCCGGAGGACGTGGTGGTGTTGGGGGGGGGGGACTCGCTCCTCGTCCTTTCGCCCCTCACTGGGGTGTCGAGGCCATCGCTGGCAGGATGCCTGAGAGGACGGGCTGGCTAAGGCAGGCAGGGCCTTCTGTGGGGGGACGGCTTACCACAGGACATCTGAAAGACAACGGGGAGGACAAGAGTGAGGACAGGGCCCCAGGGAACCACCAGCATGGACCTTGGGCAAGGAGACCACAACCACCATCTACGATGTCCCCAGGATGCCCATCAGCAGCGGGGAGGGACAGGACTGGGACGCACCGGGCAGACAGAGCTGGCTGCTTTCCATCAGCCACGTGAATAAGCAAACCCATGCGGTGCTCCTGTGCTTTCTGCACCCTTCAAGTGGGTTTTGCATCCTTTAGCCCGGAAAAGAGGCAATCTGAGCCCAAGCTCCATATGCCACATTTGGGATGTGACGTCTCGCAGCCTGATGAGCAAAGCTGGGCCGGCATAAGCCAGCAGCTGGCAAACACACAGGTGATTTTTCCAAAGCAGCCCCCCAGAGAAACATCCTCCTCTCCCCCGTCCCTCCTCTCTGCTCACGGGTCTGCCTGACCCCGTTTGGAAATGGGACCGTCTCCAGGTTGGAGCATCCCATGCGCCGGCTCCAACTGGGAATGGAAAGGGAATGCTGAACACAACATAAACTGTAACGGGGTATGGATTTCGAGTTCTGGACTGCAATTAGATTCGTTGGTTTTGGTGTCCAACCCAGATTGCAAAGGCACTGCCAAGCAGGTACGGCAAGAGCCAGGGAGCACCGGCCGGCACTGGAGCACGATGCTCCGGCACAGGCACATCCCGGGCGGTCCTGCAGCAGCAAAAGGGGAAAAGAAGGGGCTGCCCTGAAGCTGCCTCTTTGTCAGAGAGTCACTCACATCCTGGGCAAGTGTGGTTTTGCCCCGGGAGGTGGCAAGTGATGCCTTCTGAGAAACGAGCCTGGTACGAGCAGCCCCGCTGCAGCAGCCGGGCACGGGGCCAGCGCAGGGCAAGGCAGCACGGCACAGGAGCAGGGACAGCAGCACAGGGAAAGCGGTGACAACCCCAGGGCAGCCTGACAGCAGCACTGCCACATCCCCACTGCCTTCAAGGGAACCAATGCCAGGACACAGGCAGAAGAAAAAAAAAAAAAAAAAAGTATCTTTCAGCTAAAAGACTAGCGTATCCCAAAGGACCAACGTCCAGTTCATCAGACAAAAGGGAGTTCAAAATTAAACCAAATCTGAAGTGTTTCACCCAACAGAGCACACTGTCCCAGCTCGGGGACTGGGAAAATAACCCATCGGCTGGAGGGGGAGCAGCTCTCCCAGCAGTGCCCTCCTCCTCCTCCTCCTCTTCACAGCACCTTTGGGGTCAACGGGGTGCTGGGACTCACAGGACAGAGAGGGAAGCACAACTCTGCACCCACCCCCCCCCCCACCCCCCCCCCCGAGCACCAGGCAGCTTGTCACCCTGGCTGGGAAAAGCCCTTGTCACCTGGGTCCCCTGGGCCAAGACACGACAGGGACCAAAAGGAAAGTTGCCTGGGGTGCCAGAAACGCACGCACCCACATGCACCCAAACCCGCCTCCCACCCTCCCGCCGGCACCCCGTTCTCCCACCCTCCCTCGCACCGGCCCCCCGCTCTCCCCCCGCCACCTCACGCACCGAAATCTGGGTCCCGGGAGGGTTGCAAGGCCAGTGCTGCTGCCTGGAGCTGTGGGGAGGAGAGGAGCAAGCGAGAGGCTGCGGCACCGGCGGGACTGGCAGTGTGCCCGTGGGGAGCCAGCCAGCTGCAGCCCAGCTCAGCGCCCCCCCCCCCCCCCTCCTTCCCCGCACAGCGTGACCCCCCCCTCCAACCAGCCCCTCCAGCTGCAGGGACCACCCTGCGCTTCATCCATCCACCCCCCACCACCCTGCCCTCTCCCAAGGCAGCTGCAAAGTCCCTTTTTGGGGACCTCCACCACCCGCCCCTCCAGCACCTGCAAGGTTTGGGGTCAGAGCTCCCCTCCTCGCCACGCCGACCGCACAAGCTCGTTTCCAGGCATCCCAGGCTGGATTTTAAGGGGAGTCAGGCCAGGATGCACAAGATGGACCATCACGCAGCCATGCTTTGCAGCCTGGGTCTCCCTCCCTAAGTCGTAACTTGCTTTTTCCCCGTGCACCGCGCTCAGGAGCATGCCTGGAAGCAGAAGGAGGCAGATCTGCAAACCGAGCTGTCGAAGCTTTTTGAGACTATTTTCTCAGCTCAACACTTAAAGGAAGGGAATCGGTGGGGACAACAAATCCACCTGCCCAGATGACAGGCGCTGCATGGATGTGACACCGAACAAAGTCCCGTCCAAAAGATTTTGCGCAGGTACCCTGTGAGCTGGACACTCCTTGGCACGTGAGAGTCCCATGTCCCCTTTCGCATGCGGCTGGTAAAGAAATTGCAGGAATTCCTCTACCAGGTGAGCACCCCTGTAAGTATCCATCCCAACCAGAATTGCTCCCACTAAGTGACTTGGGGAGACGACAGCGCTTCTGCACTGGTACTTTGCAAAGGGGGAGTGGGGGCACAGCCCGTCCCAGCGCTGCTGATCAGCCCCCCCTGTCCTTGCTGAGCTTTGCAGAGGCTGCTCCAAGTGACACGCTGCACAGGAGCAAGACGTAGCCAAGATTAGGGAGTTCCTGCTCTAGAAAACAAATATAAATGAAGACACATTGCTCAAACATTAGCTCTGGGCAATTGCTGGCTCGGCTTCTAGGCCATGCCTGTGGCCCAGAGGGACGGAGAGGCACCCCTGAGCTCTCTGCCAGATGTGCACAGCAGGCAGACCACATCTGCCCGTCCCCTGCAGGCAGCAGGGCAGGGGCTGCTCCGCACACAGCAGTTTGCAGGAGCTCACACACAGCTCTCGGCACACTCCGCTACCCAAACCTCTAAAAAGACATCAACCCATGTTTTCCCTCGCATCCTTCTCCACGCACGCACGTCCCACAACCCTCTGGGTAGAGAGGACTTGGGGTGCAGGCTGAGCGAGACCCCAGGACTCACAGTGGGTATAAGCAGCCTTGGAAGCTCAGCAGAAACCTGGCCAGAGCTGCAAGCAGCGTTAGTAAGTGCATTCTGCTCACAGAGGGCCAGAAAGGGTTTAATCACTCGACGACCAGCTCACGATAAAGCCCTACCCTTGAACCAAGGCCACAAAAGGTATTCCAAGGCGGTGGCAGCTGCTGTGGGTGCCCAGGTTCCCAGGTGTCTCCACAGCCTCCAAAGGTGTTGGGTTCTCAGCAGCAAGGCCAGAAGAGCTTCAAGAACAAAACAAGCCTCAAACTCAGCCCCATACCCATTCCAAGACTCAGTCCTTGCTCCAGTGGAAGAAATCCAGGAAAGGAATAGCCAAAACACAAACCAAGAGCCCCAGGAGCCTGAGCACTCGGCTCCATTCGCACATCCCACTGCCGCCCAGGCACAGCCGAGGGGATCCCACTTGAGGTCAACTTGAGAGCAAAGGAGGCCTCTGGAATAAAAAGGGGCTTTTTGGCTGCTTGGGAGCCTTACTACAACATCATAAGCTTCAGCATCATCATGAGCTTCAGCATTTCTTGGGTCCTGCAGTTGCTGGGCTGACTTTAACCACAGGGCTCAACCAGACCGACAAGGCAGCGCGTAGCTGACTACAAGCTTTCTTGCAAGCAAGGCTCTTTCAGCACGTCTGCATCCCCCGTGGGCAGCTGGAGTACAACGAATCCACGTCTTCCCACTGGAGCCACCAGCCAGGGAATATCATCAGTGAAGGAAGACTTGGCTGGAGCCACACGTGGAATCACCACAAGAAACCCATGGTGCCCTGAAACTTTGCAAAAGGCCTGGTTTTTACTAAAAAGAAACGCTGGAGTCGATCTGAATGATGCCTCTATAGCTGTACACACATGTGCAAGCAGTTTTCACCCACGATCTGCCTTCGAATCCAGCATTTCTGGCCCATCACAACCAGGGAATTGCCCAGTTTTGCTGCTTTCTCCACCTGCCTCAGCCCCGGTGATACCTCAGCTCTCTAAGAAGGGGGGAAAACCTGCCGACCGCCCAGCACGTGGACACTACAAGAGCTCTGTGGGTGGTGTGGGACCCGCCGTGCCTGGGTACCCAGGGGTAACCAAGTTACACAAACCAAGTCGGTTTGCGGCTCCGAGCCCCAGGGCTGCTGGTGGGTCGTGTCCTGAGGAATTAGGCAGGGGGATAAGAGATGTCACCTGTCTCTGCCCTGAGGCAGGCACGTGCAAGCCCAGGAGGGACCCACGGGGGTGTTTAAACCCGTTGTAGGGGGAGAAAGGGAGCAGTGAGAAGCTGGAATGCAAAGAAATGGAGCTGGGAATGAGGGAGGACCTGTCTTGTGCTTTATTTCAGAGGAATGTCACAGTTTTGCCACCCTCCTCCCACCTTGGTCCCAGCGCATCCCTTCCAGAGGACTGTACGGCCCAATCTAGCTTTGCAGTCAAATTCCTCCTCCTCCTCGCAAAGCCTGGGGAAATGACACACAGGGGCAAAAATAAAATCACCCACAAAGTCTCACCGGGTGATGCTGAACTGGCATCTGCGGGACCGAGACTGGAGAACAGCAATGACAAAGGACACGACCCAGTTTGGCTTCGAACGCCGCCTCTGGGGACCCTCCGTGCTCATGTGCCGCAGTGAGCAATGCCCCGAGGCTCTCAAGCCTGTATTTCCCAGGGATTTCAGGATGATAAGCTTTCTTCCAGCATCCTTAAACCCTGCATGGAGTTTCCCCCCGGGGCTCTTTACAGGCGTTTTGCTGGGTGCTGAGGTCGGGTGTGCTGCAGGACCTCAGCAATTCACGCCTGGGAAGCGGGATCCACTCCCACTTTGCTGCGATGGCAATCCCAGCGGGGAGCAGGATTCTGGGGAGTCTGGGGAGCAGGAGCCACAGCCTGGCTGTCCCCGCTCCCCAGACGCTCGGCTTGGCCCCCGGCGAGCCCCCCTGCCTGCCCCGAGCTGGATGACAAACTCAACTAATCCTCGTTATCAGCTCAGGGCCGTGGGTGGCATCCTGCGTAATGACAGCGCTCCAACTCCCATTCACATCTGCGTCCAGCCTGGAGCCATCAAGGGCAATTAAAAACTGTAATTAAAGCAAAGAAACCTCTGGCTGTCTTCTTGTAGCTACAGGAGCCCATCCCTCCCATCACTCCGCTCCGTGGGTGCTGGGATGGCACCCAGACACGTAGTGCAAGAGCTCTGAAAGTCCCTGGGGGCACTCAGCCCATTTGCATCCCCCACTAGAGACGCTGCTGCTGGGGGGGGGGGGGGGAGAGTGGGAAGGGAAAAGACGCAATTAAATATTCTTGCAGGACTCAGCTTGGCAGCCCAGAGGGCACAGCCCTGCTCCTTTGGCTGCCACACACCGACACAGCCACGAGCTCTGCTGAGACCTTTGGCAATGCCTCCACGTCCCCGCTGCTGCGCAGAGCCACAGGAGCCGTGCGGGGGCAAGAGAGAGGCTCCTGCAGCATGTGGACAGGGATTTAAACATGTCCCACATCTCCATTTCCCAGCCGTGTCAGGGGACGTGTCCTCCCGAACCTGCGGGACGAGGGATGCTGCATTGCTACCTCCCCCCACCGAATCTCCTCCTGCCCCTGGAGAGGACACGAGTGTAGGGGAGGACGCGGGGAGTCATTGCTGCTGGAGGAACAGGGCAAAGTGCCATTTCTTTCTCAGTGCTGGCACTTTTCCACGCTGCAGCCTTCCACAAGATCCACGCTTGACTCACCTGCCCCGTCCAAAAGCGCATCCAGAGCCCCGCAATGCCCCCCCCGGGCTTGCATCGCCCACCGTGCAGCTGGGCCCGACGCGGGCACGCTGTTGGCACCGCGGCTGCTGCAGCAGCTCCGGGCACCCAGGGAGACCATGCACCCACGGGTCCGTCCTGGCAAAACATCTCTGCGCCGGTGAGAAGCACCCCGGCGGGCGCTGAGCCAGCCTGGCAGGGCTCTGCAAAAGCACCGTGGGCAAAGCTTTGTTTCTGCCAAGGAAAACTCCCTGTGCCCGTAAGGGAACGAACGGCCTGTTTCCTCCCCCCGGGGAACTGGTCAGTCTTGTTCCCAACGTCTCTCCTGCAGTGAGAACACCCGGCAGAAAGGTCACAGCTGGGGGACGCACACCAGTCCCGTCCTGGATCCCTCAAATCACCCTAAATCCAGAGGTACCGCACCTACCCCTCCTCCCAAAGCGCCCCACGAACATTGAAAGGCACAAACCTCCTTGCTTAAACAAACCCTGGGACTCAGGGGAGCTGAGACTCCCCCCGCGCTGGGTCCTTGTCCCCGGCAGCGAGGACGCGCTCCCTGTTTTATCGGGGCTTGAGCCGCGTCCTTGCCAAGGCACGGCCACGCTACCCCCCCCCACACACACACCCGCGGACTCTGCCCAGCCACTTCGCAAGGCGGAGAAGTTCCAGCCCCTGCAACTTCATAAAAATAACTCCCCGAATACCAGGGAGGCTGTGAGCTGAGACCTGCGCTCGTGCAGGCGGAGCAGAGTCCGCACGCACTCAGTGCATGCCAGAACCAGCACTCCACCAAGACGAGGAGAGCTGGGGAGCGGGGGGGGGGAGAGCAGGTCCCAGCCCCTGATGCAGGATTTATGGCGGGTGGTGTAAACACCGTTGGTCCCCTGGGTCTTTTCCCCAGCTGCGGCTCTTCTCCTGGCCCCAGCGCCACTCTGCGGGGCGCAGGCAGGACTCTTCACCTTTCCAAAGCCAGCATTAACCCACACGGGTGGCTTTACAAAGCCGGCTCGCTCAGCCTTAATAACGGAGCCGTTTCAAGGCAATCCGAAGCCCAGCAAGCTCCCAACTTGCCCCCGCTTTGCAAAGAGCCCTTTCTTCCTGCTGCCATCAGACACCAGATGGCAGCTCCCCGTTCGCCTGGACTTCAGAAGAGAATTAAATGTCTCTTGAATAGACCTGTGCTGCGTAAGACCGGCTTTTGTGCCGAGCAGCGGCTTCTCCTTTAACGTTTGCCAGCGGCACAGCTTTCACACACACACACCCCCCCACCCGCCACGCACACACATCCCCCAGGAGCGCTGAAATGGAGCTATTTATTCTAAAATGCCCATTTTCACCCGGCAAAATTTCACCTAGGGATCCCAGGAGCTGGGCTGTGTTTTGGAAATGAGCTCCCTGAAAGGAAGGGGAGGCTTTCCCCCCACCCCGAACACACTCAGCCCCCCACTCCCATGGGAGATGCTGCCTCCAGCCTCCTCTGCGGAGTTTATGGTTAAAGATGCAGCCGACACGGCAACGCGGCCAAAGCCTTTTTGCTGATGGAACCCACGGGACACCTGAGGACTCTCCATCCTACCCAGGGGGGGGTGAATGCATCCCACGGATGGGCTGAGTTTAAAGAGAAGACGGCGATGCCTCGGCGGCTGGGCCCCGAGGAAGCAGATTATCCCCTTCCAGCATGAATGGGGAAAAGAGGGCGGATTAAACCTCAGCGGGGGGGATGGACCGTGCTGCCGTGCTCAGGCCTGTCCTCGCGTGGGGTCACAGCGGGGTGGGCGTCCCCCGGTCGCTGCCCTCCCTCCCTCCCTCCCTCCCTTTGTTTTTACCTGCACCCAGGAGCCTCGGAGCACCTTGGCTTGCCGGCGGGTCAACGGCATCCAGCGCGGTTGTGTCCGGCGTGGCCGTCACGCCGGGGAGCAGCCGATGCGATCCCTCCCCCCGGAGCTCAGGCGCATCGTGTCCCCCCCCCGGGTGCCCACGCAGGCACGCACGGCTGCGCGCAGAGCCCGGCCGGCTGCGGCGCTGGCTCCGAGGAAAGGGGGGGGGGGGGGGGGGGGGGGGGGTTGGAAGGAAAAAGCTCATTGTGTGATTTCGCCACGGTTTTCACGGCCGGCCGAGCGCGGATGTCTCCCCAGAGCCGTGCCGGCCCCTTTCCTGCGGCACAAGGCGGGCGTGCAGCGCTTGCCTTGCGGCGGGATTCCCACGCTGAGCTCATCACCCTCCCCAAAACACCCTGTCTGAGTCCCTGCGCATGCAGACACTCAAAATATTAAGCAAAATCCCCATCAAAGAGGAATCCTCCAGCCCTTTCCACCACCCTTAGATGGTTTTTAAGCCTCCCCATCACTCAGACCCCTGAGGATTGTGAGTTACCCGCTCTGCTCCTCCCCACGTGAGCCACTCTGGGGGGAAAAAAAAATACCAGTTGAGATCAGAGGGAGAAGAGCCCCAGTGGGGAGGAGAAATGGGGTGAGAGCAGCCGGTGCAGCGTGTGGCAGGATGAGAGCGATGCTGGGGGGAATTATTGCTCACTTGGGGGTCGGCAGCAGTGGAGTCCAACTTCTCCCCTGGCACCTTTGGAGAAAAATCTCCCAGGGTTTCATGGCAAGAGATGGGAGAGAGGGAAAGGGTGAGACCCCTGGGAAGAATGTCACAGAGGGGGGCAGCAATTTTGAGGTGCTCATGATGGGGTGGCCTCTGATACAAAGAGAAGCAAATGACCACACAGAGAAGGTCACTAACCCTCCACCTCTGCCCTTGCCAGCCTCTGCCAGGGCACCCCAGCCCTCCAAAAAGGACTCTGTCACTTGGCCAACCACTGTCTGCATTAACCCAACGGGTTGTCTTTGAAGTGGGGGTGCTTTGGGGGAGCAAGAGTCCCCTCCAGCTCGGTAGCACTGCCCAGACAGCAGCATGTACCCTGTAATAGTGAGGGGAGGCTGGAAACCCCCCCGGGTCAGCATGGCATCCCCAATCCTGCTTATCCTCCCTGCTCCAGCATCACCCCAACCCAGAGCAGAGCCTCTTTTCATACTCCTGGACCAGACCATCCCCCACGAGCAGGGAGACGGTGATCACTGACCCAGCACACCCCGGAGAACCAGCAGCAACAGCCAGTCCTGCTCTGCTACCCCCAGGGAGCAAAACCAGGCTTCCCCCTGCCATGAGGAGTGACCCACGAGCAGCAGATTGTCTGAACCCAGGGAAATATTGCTGGAACCAGTGCTGCAGCATCCCCTGCAGAGCCTGGCCAAACGCAGAGGTTGCGGCACAAGGGCACCCTTGGAAGAGAGTCAAAACCCTCCACATGGATTTTCAGACCTTTTGAGCCACACAGAAGCAAGAGAGGCGGGTGAGTCACCCCTGCCACGGAGCATCCTCGTTGGGAGAGCTCAAAGAGGGACAATTAATGCAAAACCGCTCAACGCCCCATCCATCCCCACACGGAGGGGGTGCTGCCTGCCCCCTGCACACATCACCGGCAGCCCACGGAGGAAACAACGCGTTTGAGACACAAAGTTTGAGCTCAGCAGAAATCCAAGAGCATTACTAATTGACTGTCTGCTGCGGGTGATTATTATAATTAAGTCAGACTTCAGAAATTGCAAGTGACTTGTGAAAGCACATCCCAGATCCCCAGTTTTTGTATAACACGATGGCGAGAGTTTTATACTGCCTTCCCCTTGCTGGCTCTTGCTGGTTGGGTTTTCACGTGGATGCCTGAGTTTTAAAGTATGATTTGCAGGCCGTGGGTTTTTTTATATGTTGCTTCCACTGTTGACCTTGGGTTTGCACAGGAGATGGAAACCTCGGCAGTGTGCTGGCACACACGCTCCCGGTGCCGAACCAAACCCAGCCTCCGGCACCGGGAGGGGAGACAGGCAGTTTTGTGCCTGCTCTACCTGCTTCAGTGACTCACGGCCCTCTCCAGGGATGATTCACCTTAATGAGGAAGGGAGAGCATCCATCCCATGACTCGACCATGGCACGCCACCTCAGCTGGAAGCAGCCAAGTCCACTGAGGTTATTATTGGTTTATTAACCTGCCCGCACCCATGCGGGACGTTCGAGACTTTCCAAGCAGCTTGTGGAAACCTCTCCATGGTGGTGCCCCCCCCCCCAAAACATCTTCCTGGGACAGCGACTCTTCTTCCCCACATCCATCCCCAGCCAAGAACCATCTCCCACCACTTGCAGCTGCATCCATCCTCCAGCACCCGCCTCCCTCTCGGGTGCATTTGCAGGGAGCCCGTGGGCACCCACAGACCCACCGGTGCAGGGCCCCCCAGCTGCATCTCTGCCCCTGGATCGACGTGGATATTCATCACTCCATTCCCCTTTTTTTTTGGAGAAAAAGGCTCCGGGGGTGGCTGTGTCTGTCGCACATGATAAGTGGCCTTTTTGCCTTCCCTGATCACAACACGGCACGACTCCAGCAGTAGGCGGGAGCCGCGAGAGAGCCAAGCTCACATCTGCCGGGGCTGGTTCTCCAGCACCAGGGAGGAAGGCAGCGAGGAGGAGTCGATGCTGAGCAGAGGATGACATCCCCACCTACTCGGCAGCTACAAGGGGAAGCACCTCTTTTGTGGAAGTTACTAAAGTATTGGGCAATTTTTTGCTTCACGCCCTTGAGCAAAAAGCAGCCCTGGGGGGGGGGGAGCGGGGCTGGGCACAAGGCGAGGGGAAGGCACTGACAGCTCCGGAAAGGAGCCAGGGTTTCAAAACCAGAAGGATGCGATGCAAAATCCCACTGTAAGGAATGGAGGCAGAGCAAGAGCAGGCAGAAACGAGGCAAAAAGCTCTGATAAAAGCCCCAAAGCCCAGGTCCTGCATGCAAACACCACGGGACCAGGCTGACCCCATGGTGGGAGTGGAGCCCCGTGAAAGAGGGGCAGCTCCTCTGGTGTGGCTGGATGTGTCTGCGGCTGCAGCCCCTTGAGCACACCCAGAGCACGGCAAAAGCACACGGAGTGGGACAGGGGCAACGAGACACTTTAACACCACAAAGTCACTTCCGTAGCCGAGAAATTAATTTGCATTAAAAAGACCCACCACAGTATGAAACCAGCCAAGCCCCGAGGGGTACTCACCCTCCACAGGCCGAGGGATTTGGTTCACTCACAAGACAAGGAAGATGCTGGGTTCCTGGTGCTTATCTAACCATGTCCTCCCATGCCCTCTTGTAGCCCGGACCACCCTCCCGTGGCCACCCCACACCGTGGCCACCCCACACCTTCTCCCCTGTGCCCAGCCCAGCAGCTCCCGGCTGCTCACTGAGCTCTTCAACCCCAACACCCCAATGCGAGCAGACAACGCAACCGTGTGTTGCAACACCACGTATCGTTGTGACATGGCTGCTAAAAACCTAAATAAGCCGCTCTTCCCGACTGGCCCTCTGCAAATCCTTCCTAATCCAATCTGGTTTACGGCATTAAGTTGGACCCCTCCCATCCTGAACGCCCCTATTTGCACAACGATTGGGAAAATCCGTCCTGTTTCCTTACACCTGGTTTGACCTCTGATGCAGAGATCACCGGAGCTTCCTTACCCGCATTTCTAGAAGTATCTAAGGATGAAGATGATCTCCTTGTGCTCCCAGCTTCACACCCCGCTGGCACATCACATGTGTGGCACATCACCAGTCCAGGCATGGGAAACCATCTACCCTGCGCCGACTGTAACCGAGTCGAACGCAGCCGAGCGCAGCCAGGAGTTGCCAAGCAGCTTCTCCTTTGCTGGGTGCTTACGGGGTTTAGAACACGGGGGTTTCTCCACTTTAGCCAGACACAGCAGAAGAGCTGGAGGGGACGAGCCCCGCGCTGGCCCCTGCTTGCTCCAGTAAATCACGGTTGGGATCCAGGTTATGAAACGAGCCCAAAAATGCAGCAATTTGGGGCATTTATTCACACAGAGCAGATGCCAGAGCACACGCTCCCCATCACGGCTCGGTTCGGGTGATGCTCTGCCCTCCCTGGATCCCACATCAGGGGAACACGACTGCACCGCCGGCTGCCACTTACCTCTCCGCTGAGCAAAGCCGAGCTTGCCACGGGCTGTCAAAGACACGCACCTCCCTGATGCTAACTTCTTTAGGGAGGGGAAAAAGCCTCCCCGTGTCTCCCCGGGGTCCTCCCGGTTAGCAAACATCTGCCACAGCACGTGCGTTGGAAAAGCTCAGCGAGGGAGGCAGGCGTCAGCAAGTCAGGACGAAGGTGTTATAATTACCCTCAGCCTCTCTGTAATCTGCAGAGCGCCGAAAAGTTATGCCACGGAAAAGGAAAGCAGCCGAAACTATTTATAACGCCTTCCCGGGGAGACGCAGATGGCCAGGCTGACATGAGCTCGAGCAACGGGAGCGGGGCTCCTCTCCCTCTGCTTTCCCTGCAAATACGCCCAAATTGCATTTGGCTCCATCAGACACTTAATACAGAAATAGCCAGGGCCCACGCGGGCGTTGCATACACACCATTGCTGGCTGCGTGGTGAGACAGCCCCGGGGGAAAAGCTCCTGCTGTTTAAATAATTCCCCCGAGTGCTGCTCTTCAGCCTCTCCCTTCCCAGTCAAGCAGCCCACAGGAGCACGGGAAACCACCCGGGTGGAGCTGGGGGGAAATTAAGGTGGTTTTGATCCCTCCCGCCCCTGCGAGGCAGCAGGGATGGGTGAGAGGAGCAAAGGCAGGGCTGCCGGGAGTGCAAAGGTTGCATCGGCGAGCGACAGCTCAGCATTCCGCTCTCACGGCGTCACGGGGCTGGGGTGGCGGCGGGGACCTGGCCACCCTCGTGGGGTGGTTCTCCCCAAGCAGCAGAAGGGGCCTCGGCGTGGCAGAATACACCTCTGCTTGTGCAAACTGCTGCGTTTCCTGGGGAAAGGAGGTGTGGGCAGCCCGGCACTGCAGCTCGACGCCGGGCAAAACCCCACGGTGCCTCCACCAGCCTCCCCAAAACACGCTGCTTGCTGACACCCGCAGCGCTCGCCCAGCCCAGCTCCCACCTTTTTACGTCCCCTCTCCTTTTTCTGGCTCAGTCGCTAGAAAGGGTGACAAGCCACGGTTAAGAATCACCTCCAACTCTGCCATCTCACCCAGGCGGAGCGTGGTCCTCCATCGCCGCCCCACAGACGGGAGAGAGGAGCCCGTGGCACGGTCCCCGTTAGGACATGAGCAGCTCAGGACGAGCACAGGGGATGCGCCAGAGATGCTGGTGGCCACAGCACCAAAAGGAAGGTCACTGGCAGGACGGCACAGATGACTCAAGCCCAGCAACGCAGATGCTAAGGGCACGACATGCTGGCAGAGGACTGGATGCTATTTTTTCTGCTTTTATTTCCAAATCCTGACAAAGACACGGATTCCCAAGCAGGCCACCTCATCCATCCTTTCCTGAGGGGTAACCTCCCTGCTCTCCCCCTCGTCTCTCCCAGGAGTCGGCGGATTTAACATCACCAGCATCCTCTGCAATCCTCATCAAGCATCGGGCAACCTTCCCGATCAGCAGCACGCTGCGCCCAGCAGCAAGTGGGCAGGGACAGGGAGGACGAAAGACCCGTTGCATTTCCAGACAGGAAACCACTCCATCCCCAGGGAACCCCGACCCTAATTGTTTTACATTCAGAGCTTCCAAATTCATGACCAAGAAGAGGAGAAAAGCAATTAAATTAACTCCCAAAGCCATGAAAGGTAACTTTGCCTCATGGTCATGCAGCCCCCTGCGATGCGGCGTACTCCTTCCGATGGGATGGGGTGGGACGGGGTGGGATACCAGTGCCGGTCACCCCCAGCTGACTATTTCTTGACACGTACCAAATCTATGCAAACCAAACTCATTTTGCACGCGCCCACCAAAGCTGCTTCCCCAGCAAACCTGGTCACACTCTGTTAAAGTGCTTTGTGCAATGTAATTTCCTTTCCAGTTACAACAGCCAGCAGTGACTCTCGGCTCTGTTTGTGTAAAGCTCTATCACATGCCGGATAACAGCCCAACAAGGAATTTATAAATATAGTCTTCTGAGGCAGTAATTGTCACTCCAGCCATCTGTTAAAATGCAGAGCTAGGCAGTGGCACGGCGGAGGTAAAAATACAGGGGAAAGCGTCACAGCGGTGCCGTGGGTGAGCCTCCGAGGGGGAGCAGGGGAGACGCCGTGATTTTGGGATCTCATGGGAGCTGCGCTTTGATCCCCGGCCATTGATCTTAGGGCTTATCCACCCCACCATCCAAAATGTCCCCCCTTGCCAAACTACATCAAATTTGCCAACTTTTGCCCTTCCGTGCCGCCTTCTTTCCAGGAGGGGTGCAGGCCAGCGCCCAATATTTTCCCCCAGCCGACTCCAGCGGCTTTGCCAGGCGGGATCAGCTGTGCCACAGGCAGACGCCCACCCTTCGGGACCCCTGAGGGGCTGCTCCGTCCCCAGCACCCTCCCCGGGGACCCCCCACAGCACCAATTTCCTTTTTACCTTCAACCGGTGGGCGCTGGCTCCCCGGGGCTGCTCCTTCCAGCGGCGAGAAGCGTTGGCAGAAGGCGATGCCCTGAGTGCCGCGGCGAGCTCAGCCCTGGATCGGGCACAGCCTGGCCTTACAGGGACACTTTTGCAAGCATTTACCGGTGTACTATGATTAATTAAAGCAACAACTGTCAAAATAAAAGATAAACAAGGCGAGCTGGTGACGCACCCGGCGCTTTTCCCTCTCCCTGGCTGCCACCCTGCTGCCAGTGTGCCCCAAGAGCCACGACGGGATCTCTGGAAGGGGCTACGTGGTGAGATGTGGCCCCGGGCAGGACTGGAAAGACCTGTTGCTGCTCACAGTGCCGGAGCCACGAGTGCACGGGGCCGGGAGGAGAGGTGTGGCGGAGGCCAGCGAAGCCGGCATCACCGCCTCCCGCCCCGTCACCAACACCCCGGCGCTCGGCGAAGGGTTGGAGCAACGTTTGCAGCCGCTGGCGGAGGCAGATGGACACATCCCGCAGCCCAGAGCATGAGCCCAAACCCCTGTAACCCCCAGCGAGGCTGAACCCACCCAGGGAATACACCCACTTAATTCTGCCCTTGCCTAAGGGTGCGTCTGCAGGTCCCTGACCCGTGGCCAGGACCCCCAAACGCTCGAGGAGTAACTCCCTCCATCCCAAATCCAAAGTCAATGGGATGCTCTGAGGCAGCCGGTCCCGTGCCCCCCCCCCCCCCCGCCCCGTCCTCATCTCTCACTGCTCTGCCTGTGGCACAAAGCGCCTGTGAACTGGTTCAGATGGAGAGAAAAAAAAAAAAAAAAAAAGAGCAAAAAGCAAAAAAAGGCAGCTTTATTTCTCCCTGACATTTAATAACCTTTATTGTTCTCTGAGCGGCGGTTTCCCATCCCAAGCCGGCAGCACGGCTGATCTTCCTCCAGGCTGGAAATGCTTTAAAGCCCGGCAGCCGCCCCCATCTCCCCACCCTCCACCAACACTGAGAAACCCCGAAAGGTTCAAAAGGCACAAAACAGAAGGAAACACCACGGGAAGCGGCAGCCCTGGACGCCGGGGCCAGGCTGGCTCCTCCGGAGCTCGCTGCAAACCCTCCATCCCTGCCACCTCCTGGCTTCGCCCCGTGGCATTTCCCGGGTTGCTCCGGTTATTTTTCATCACTGAATTGGTACAAAAGGTGCCGGGGCCGCAGCAGAGCATCTGACCCACTGGATGTGGTAGTTACTAGGCGAGGGGGAGAGCCACTGACAACTCGCGGGAGGCAAAAAGGAGAAATTAATAGTGCTGCAATTCCCACTGCCTCCATCATTAGGGAAAGAAAATGCATTCGAGCATCCTCAGTTGAATGCACAATGTAATTTGTTTCAAGTTTAATATCATCCTCCTTCCCAGAGATGGGCTGGAGCTGGGAAAAGTCTGTTTTCATCAGCTGTGCTTCAGGGTAGATGCGAGGCAAAGAAGGGGATTTGCAGAGGCTTGTATAAAGGGGGGGAAAAAAATCATCTAAACCCACACAGTGTTGGTGTTGCAAGAGGTCATCGCCCACTGAGCTGTTATAGACATTATTACCCAGAGCTGCTTGCTAATGAAACAGCTAATTAGCTCAACATTTAACTTAAGTCTTTTATGGTGGGTGTCAGTAAGGTTTTTCTCCTACCTGCCAAACTCTGCACCACTAAAACTGCCTGGCATCCTGCTCCTGCACAAAACAGTGGCACCACCTCCCCTGAAAGCACGACTTTTGGGGCAGGAGAGGGATGGGAGAATCCCAGTTTTATCTGGGATTGAATCCTCTCCTCCAGCCCTGGGCTTTGCACAAGGAAGTTGGGATTTTCCCCAACCGGGCTCCTGGTGTTTCCTCCTCGGGGCCT